GGATGTTGGAGGGACACTACAGCGAGAACCAGAGCTGGACAGCCCTGTTACGCACATAAGGATGGAACACGTATGGAGGAAGGCAGAAAGGAATTTGGAGAGGCCAGAAGAGGCAAGAAGACCTCTCTGAGATCAGAGCAATGATAAGAGTTTACCAGGCAAAAAAGGAAAACAAGGACAAAGAGTATCTGCCAACATCTGGTGGCAAGACTGAGAACAGAAGGCTTGAGGAATTGGGAGAAGTTCCATGTGATCTGAGCAGAGAGCACCAGGAAGGGAGAGGGAGCATGAAGCTAGCAAGAAAGGCGGGGTCTAGATGGAGAGGGAGCTGGTTCAGATACCTTAGATTTCAAGAAGGTTGCATTTGTAGTGATTGGAGCAAGGAGTGTTGGAAGGTGGATGTTCACACACCAGGACTTGAATCCCAGCTCTGCCACCCACTGACTGTGTGATGTTGGCCATGCTACTCAGTGTCTCTGAGTGTTAATGTCATTGCTGAGGGGGGATAATAATGTCTACCTCATAGTAGGTTGTTTTGAGAATTAAATGAGTGAGTACATGAAAAGCTGGGCAAACGATTATTACTATCGAGCCCAAGGACAATGGAGAGTTGTTATTGCTGTTAGGAGCTGGGATTTGTGAGGAAAAAGACAAGAGGCAAAGATGTGAGTTAGGAGGTAATGAGAGTAGTGCAAGCGAGATGATTGTGGCTGGGACTAGACAATTGGGTGAGTGGACAGATGTGGATTGGATGGGAAATAGGAAAGAAGGGTCATGTGAAACTCACTTTGAGTGACTTTGAGATTGAGAATGCAGGGATGGTAAGAAGTTCGGGGTGTCGTGAGGTCAATGTTGTGCATGCTGAGATTGTATCTATCAGGTACCGGTTGTGGAGTATAGGAAGCTTAGTGGGAAGGCATTTATTAGAGGGTATTACAGGCTTACAGAATTTTCTGGAGGGCTGAGAAAACAGTCCAGCTTGAGCTTGCAGGAGCAACCTCTACCCCCCTCTCCTAGGAACTGCGCTGCTGGGGTAGCTGCTATCTAATCGATAATCTTGCAACCAGGAAGCTGCCCCCTTCGGGAGCCACCACACTGCTGTTTTGAACAGGAAACCATGACAATCAGGAAGCTGCTACTGCTGCCAGTTCTAGAACCACTGGGAATCTGTAACAGACCATATCAGCAGAATGGATGCTCCTCCCTCTCCACCCAGACGCGCCCCACCTGCTAAGCCAGTATCTGAATGCGGGGACCTCTGCAAAAGCAGCTGCAGAGAAGCCAAGCGCCTCCAGAGCTGGGCTTGCGGTGCAGGGGACGAGCATAGCACAATCCGGTCCACCTCAGATGAAGCTATTCTAGAGCAGCGGTCGCCAACCTTTTGGACCTCATGGACCACCAATGGTCCGTGGACCACCATTGGCAACCACTGTCCCAGAAGTTAGTTTTCCAACTTCTAGAGCAGAGAAGGTCACACTAGAACTGGTGTTTTGTAAATTGTGAGTTGTGACTCACGAAAGCATCGTCAGATCAATTCAGGAGGTCACAAGACTTTTTTTCTTAGTTATGAGTAGTAAAGGCAACTATTACTTAATGTAATGATACTTCTGTCTGAGGTGTGTGTGTGTGTATCCTTATTTGCAAAGTGGAACATTCTTCCCTCTGGATCATGATAAAAAACCAAACCCTCAAAAGTCACTGCACTGGACTTGCGGGGTCTCAGAGAGAACTAATGGGCAGACCCCAGAGTCTACTGAATATGTAGGGTTGGGTTTTAAGAGAAAATCAAAGCTGGGTATCTAGAGTATATCGTCACTGGCAAGAAGCCCTGTGAGTTAAGTGACCCAGGGAGATGGTGTGCAGTGTTAAGGGAAGGAGGTCTGGAACAGACCCCAGGGAGCGCAAGCATTTCATCTCGGGGCAGGAATTTTCTCCGGGGGTGTGCTGGTCCTGCTTGCACTATGGCAGTTTTCACATGTTCTCCGGAAAGAGAGCTGGATCCGGGGAAGCCTCAGAGCGCTGGAAAGGTGTGTTCCAAACACACGTGAACTAGGGCTGATTTGGCTGCTGCCTGGCACAGCCGTGGTACACACCACACTGGATCATAAACCAGCACCTGGCATGGGTCCAGGCACCATACTGGCACCGTGACATGTATGGAATGGATGCGCAGAGCAGAGAAGTTCTCAGGAAAGCTGGAAAGAGTTCCTCAGATTCCAACATTCAGGAGCTGGTCCAGAGGGGGCTAATCTCACCAGCCAAGGTTGACTCAGTAGCTCTGGGCTACTGCAGCAGCCTCCTGGTCTGTGATCCAAGGTTTCCTGCTTTCACTTACCCACAGTCCACCGTGGTCTGAAATACTAAATGGGAAGTTCCAGAAATGAGCAATTCATAAATGTTAAAGAGCAGGCTGTTCTGAGGAGTATGATGAAATCTCACACTGTCCAGCTCCATCCCAACCGGGACATGACTCATCCCTTTGTCCCCCGCAGCCACACTCTACATGCTCCCTGCCGTTAGTCACTCGGTAGCTGTCTTGGTGATCAGATCGACTGTTGCAGTATCACAGTGCTTGTGCTCAAGTCACCCTTATTTCACTTCACAGTGGCCCCTAAGCACAAGAACAGTGATATTCCAAAGAGAAGCCAGAAAGTGCTTTTTTTTTTTTAAAGAAAAAGAATGAAAAGTTAAGTATGTATACGAAAAAACAAAACAAAACACAGTACCTATAGGGTTTGGTATGCCATGGTTTCAGGCATTTACTGGGGGTCTTGAAACGTATTTCTTGTGGATAAAGGAGGAACCACTCTATCATTTTTAAAGAGTATTTTGTTGCATAGAAAATTGGCAATAAGGGGTGGGAGCTGTTCAGGATGGTGGACTTTATTGCTGCTAACTCAGGAGACAAACTGAATGTGCATCCATAGAAAAATGGGCAAACTGTGTATAGTTAAACAAGGAAATACCAGTAGGTGGCAATTAAATGAATGAGCTCGATCTACATGTATCAATCTGCATGAATCTCAAAAACCTAAGGTTATGTGAAAAAAACTCAAGCACAAAATGTTATATAAAGTATGATATTGTTTATTGAAATGTTAAAATCCTCACAAAACTCTCTTATATAGTCTAATGGGAGAACAAGTATAAATTTATGTAAGCGGAGGAGACACACAAACTTCCAGGCAAGGGCTGTTCTCTGGGGAGCATGTAGGAACGTGGATGGAGGGTTGAGATTTTAGCTCTATATGGATTATTTTCTTTTTAAACAGAAGCAGAGACATATAGTAACATATTAATAGTTATTAAATTAGCTGGTGAGGCATGGGAAAAATACTATTTTCTGTTCTTTCTATAATTAAAAAATATTTACAAATGAATATACATTTTATAATGCCCAGAGCAAGAATCAGGCTTCTTCCCCTGACCTCTGATTAAGCAGATGACCTTTAAAGCAATTAGGGAGAAGTACACACACACACACACACATACTACATGTATATATAATACATATAAATGTATAATACACACATGTGCACACATGTATATACACATATGTGTGTACATACATATGCATATACACATATACCCATATGTATAACTTCAAATTTAAACAAACTTTTTTTTATTGGCCTACATATTTCTTCAGTTTCTGAGAAAGAACTTTATATCATGGGACTCTAACCTTTTTCTGGATTTGGCCACTTATTGAATCTGGAGACCATCTATGTCTCACATTAGCATGATCATCCAGCAGTGACTGGAGTGGCAGAGGCAGAACAGGGGACAGCCCTGAACACTGGCTGCTCCAATGCAGGGCTCCAAAGCTGTGACCTGAGGAATTACAGAAAGGCTGCCCAGCTGGGTGTGGCTCAGTGTTTGAGCATAGACCCAGGAACCAGGAGGTCACCGGTTCAATTCCCAGTCAGGGCATATGCCTGGGTTGCGGCTCCATCCCCAGTAGGGGGCATGCAGGAGGCAGCTGATCAATGATTCTCTCTCATCGTTGATGTTTCTATCTCTTTTTCCCTCTCCCTTCCTCTCTGAGATATATATAATTTTTTTTTAAAGAAAGGCTGTGGAGGGGACCAATAAAGCCCAATGGAAAATAGTGGAGACAGGAGGCTGGACTCCATTCCTGGCTCTGCTACTAATCATGTGTAAGGACTTGACAAGCCCCTGCCTTTCACTGGACTTCCTTTCAAACGTTGGCTCTGCTGATCTCTCAGGATCTTTCCAGAGATGATACAAATGACTACTGTATCTTCTTGACTGAAAGGCTCTGGCCTTGTGTCACAATAATCAGTGGTATGAATTTTCCCAAGGGCAGGAATACAGTTAGTCTTCATTGATTTGTTACTTTTTTATCAACTCATCCTCCTCTACAAGTTTTACAAGTATAGTGTGTGTGTGTGTGTGTGTGTATGTATGTACGTACTGGGGAGTGGAGGAAAGAGCAGTTGAGTTTTTACCAAAGAGATATATGTTTCAGGTAGCCTGAATTCCCAGTTACAAAAATCATTTATTTTATTTGCATAGATTGTGTCATTTGCTCATAATATTCCCAGGGGGCTGGTTAACCCTCAGAGAGTAACAGAATTTAGTTTTGAACTTCTTAGGTTGTCCACCCCCTACATATCAGGTGAACTACTAAAGATTATTCTCTTATTATTTTGTCTTGCTACAAGATTCTTTTTAAGCTGTGCTCCCTATGTCTTCAGCTGTTGGCTTTCAGAGTATTGCTTGATAGAGACTAATATTGAGAATCACTCACAATGTCAAAGTCAGGCACCTGTGCTCAGAGGATGGTTGGTGAAAAGTGCAAATGAAACCTTTCTCGAGTTGGAATATGAAACAGTAAAAAATTGCTTCGTTGACATTTGCTTAGGTTGCAGATACCTTTCCAGTAATGCATGAATGACTTGGTTTAAAGCAAGATTCATTTGTCTTACAGAGTTAGGGTAGAACTCAAATGCCCACAGGCCACCTTATTCTCTAGCTTTTGGCCCTCAAAACCTGTCTGTGTTATTATCACGTATCTCTTGTCTTGCTGAGTGCAACACCTCTTCCAATGCACCCTGCTCCCCAAGAATCTACTCACAGAAGCATTTAAGAGAAATGTAGACTTTTACTGAGTATTTCACTGACCTAGGAGGAGGCAACAGAGCATGCTGTTCAGCAAAGGACTTAAAATTTCCCTTTAGTCTTTTCTGTTCTCCCAAGTCCTTCTCATCCATACCACCCCTGCTGAGTTTTTTCCCTTCTTTTAGATCTTTTCTAAACTTTGACAAACTTTCCTGAATTTTGACACCTTTCTTTTCTCTCCTCCTTCTTGAGAAACATGCAAATTTTGTTTCATTCTTTTGTGTAGCAGTTAAGAGCCCCTTTTCTTTCTGAGGAATAACCTCAGCAGTGGAACTTTCAAACAATAAGATGCTGCTTCAGATATGATGGACAGTTGTAAGGGTTGATGGAGCTAGAGAATCTCCTGGTTATCCAAATCAGGAGACGAGGTTGTCATTGTGCAGAGAAGTTCTTTACGCCATTTCCAAGGTTGTCATTGTCTGTCTACAACTTTGTGGGCCCTTAAAAGCTCCCACAGAAATGATTTTCTGAGAGGTGTTTGAAGCAGGGAGCAGGATGAGATCATGTGGGAGATGGCAGCAGCTATGCCCTGACCAAATGATTGCATCTCCTGCCCATTGCATGATGATTTGAGAGTGTGCTGAAGGCATAGCACTTTTCTGACAGGAAACAGAAACTCTCTGTTGTTGAGTTCTTGTCCATCTTAACTGGAATGGAGTCAAGCCTGGTCAGATGGTTTCCCAAATATCCACAAGGTCTCTTCAGTTCTGGATGGTCAGTTTGGCAGTCCTTTCTTATGCATTTTAGGTCCTACAATTCACACCATTTGGCAGGTGCCCTGCACTTTGTCTCCAAATTCTGACTCTGCTGAGGTGGTGTGCAGCCAGATGCTGCCAGTACCATTGGTTTCACACTGGTGGGGGGGGCTTTCCCTTTGGTTGGGGGCTTCCAGAACGCTGTCTGGAATCTTAGTTCCCAGGTCTGTGATGAGAGAGGCTGGTCTTCTGAGATGGAGGAGACTTTGGAGAGATTCGAACCCAGCCCCTTCATTTTTCAGACGTGGATCCTGAGTTCCAAGGAGGGGAAAGGAATTGGTCCAGGTCATACAGTGAGTTAGTGGTTGGGACATACATCCATCCCTTCTGATTCCCTTTGGGAGCTCTGTCCACCACACGGCATTGCTTCCTTGCCTTCTCTCTGAAAGACACTTCACTCAAAACTCTCTTTTTAACCATGGAGCTGTATCTTTCCAAGAGACAGAAGGAGAAGCATACTATGTAATACCCTTTGTGGTTTCAGTCTTGGTCTAGTTTCCTTTTTGCCCAAGTGTTTGGATGGATGAGGTGCTGTATGGTAGAGGCCAGGAGAAAGGGTTCAGTCTGAACTACTGTATAAGAAGATGGATAGTACATTCTCAAGAGGAAAGGTGTTTGTATCCACATACTGGAACTTATCCACCTTGACTGAGATGGTGGTATTGACCTGGAGGTGCTCCAGCAGGAACTGAGAGAGGTTCTGGTATATGTTTTTGGTTTGTACTCCAGACTCACACACTGTCACCAAAGTCTGCCTTTTGACATCTTGGTTGATGAGAAGTTCCAATTTTAGGTCGACAGAATGTTCTGGGCATTCCACCAGAAACTGCAGTTGGCAAATAATGAAGTACCATCCTGGGAACTGGATCACCAGGTTGCCATCCTGATATCTGAGTCCATGGACAATGCCATCTTGGTTCCAAGACAACTTGGTTTTGTTTATGTGCTTTGACACTGGAAAGAGAAGGAAAAACAAAATCACAATTATTGGGCAGAATGCAGGTGCAGACCGGAAAATTTGAAGCCTTTATTCAAAGTTCCCCCTTCAAGACTCCTTCCTGTCTTCTATATTATCTGCTGTCCCAACTATCCAGAATATCTCCTGTGTTACTCTTTCTAAGTGTTGCTTAATATTTAAGGCACAGCTACAAAACTGCCCCTCTTCCCTTTTTCCAATGCCAAAGTTGAGGGGCTGAACCTCCTATAGAATTGTTTTCCACTTATTACATTACTAGAGGCCCAATGCACAAAATTCGTGCAAGAGGCTCAGCCCTCGCAGCCTGGCTACTTCAGCCAGCCCTCGCAGCCCCTTGCAGCCTTGACCAGCCCTTGCAGCCCCAGCTTCATCCAAAAGGTCATCCAGACAGTTGTCCGGATGGTTGTTCTGCTGTTCAGTCTAATTAGCATATTAGCTCTTTATTATATAGGATTCTGTTATCATAATTACTAGAGGCACGGTGCATGAAAATTCATGCACTGGAGGAGGGGTCCTTCAGCCGGCCTGCCCCCTTCCACAGTCCGGGAGCCCTCAGGGGCGGGAGGTGACCCGGTGATCAGGGGAAGATGACACCCCATCATACCTCTGTTGCTGCCACTGCTGACAGTGCAAGCCTTAGCCGGCCCTGGTTACCTAAGCCACAGGTGGCCCTGGGCGCTGGGCAGCTGCCATCCGAGGCTTGCCTGTGCCTCAGGCTGGCCCTGGGCGGCTGGGGGGCTGAGGGGACTGGGGGACTCGGGAGGCAAGTGCGCAGAGCGGCTGGGCCTGCCTGGGGGCGGGCCCAGCCTTGCCACACCCACCTGGGGGTGGGCCTGTGCTTGCCACACACCTGCCGCCCGGCGGGGCTGAGGGGACTGGGCCCTGCCATCCTGTGGCTGTGGGTGCCGCCATCTTTGAGGGCGGAGCAGTCAATTAGCATATTTTCTCTTTATTGGCTGTGGGCGTGCCATCTTTGCAACAGCGTGAGGTTCAGTTAACATATTCCCTCTCTATTAGATAGGATTATCTTTGCCTTTTCAGACTATAACCTCCTGGGCTGTATTCCCCACAAGTTCTGTACTATCATATTCATTTAAAAAATATATATTTTTATTGATTTCAGAGAGGAAGGGAGAGGGAGAGAGAGAAACATCAATGATGAGAGAGAATCATTGATTGGCTGCCCCCACTGGGGACCAAGCCTGCAACCCAGGCATGCGCCCTTGACCAGAATCAAACCTGGGACCCTTTAGTCCATAGGCTGACGCTCTATCCACTGAGCCAAACCAGCCAGGGCTCATGTTCATTTTTTAAATCAATCAATAAATGTTTGATCAATGGGAGGACTACTATTTGGTGGGCATTGCACAAAATATCAGAGATAGGACATTTATTTGTGCTCAGTTAGTAACCAGTTTAGGCATTAAGATGTCCAGGAGAATCTTAGTCTATTCGCTTTCATATTAAGATGTATCCTTTAGCCATTCATTGTCTAAATTTTTGAATGTCTTCCTCTCTTTGAAAGGGCAGCCAAACATGACTGTGTAGACCCTTTACATGTAGACACTTTAAGGGGCTCTTCCCAGCTGGGTTTGTAGAAAAGCAGAGCATTAGCAGATCCTCTAAGCCAGTGGTTCTCAACCTGTGGGTCGCCAACCTGTGGGTCGAGACCCCTTTGGGGGTCGAACGACCCTTTCACAGGGGTCGCCTAAGACCATCAGAAGACGCATATATAATTACATATTGTTTTTGTGATTAATCACTATGCTTTAATTATGTTCAATTTGTAACAATGAAAATACATCCTGCATATCAGATATTTACATTACAATTCATAACAGTAGCAAAATTACAGTTATGAAGTAGCAACGAAAATAATTTTATGGTTGGGAGTCACCACAACATGAGGAACTGTATTAAAGGGTTGCGGCATTAGGAAGGTTGAGAACCACTGCTCTAAGCCAACATGTTCATGTCAGAAGCCAAGGCTCTCTGAGCCCTAACAAGTGAACATCAGCCCTGATCGGTCAGGGTGCCTTTCAGAGCTGGGAAGCTGGTGTGTTCGTTTTAATTGCCTCTATGTCTTCTTCCCTTTAAACCTCATTGCAATTCAATTGAAAAGTGCAAACTAATTTAACTGCAAAATTGAATTTCTAAAATGAGCAGAAGGGCTATTCAGAGAATCCTGGATATCTTCTCCAGATCTCATTTTTCCCAGTGTAAATAGCTCTCATTATTTCATTTAGAAGGGGCCTCTTACCTTGCTGCAATATGCAAATAGGGCCTGTGCCGACATGTTCATTAAGCTGTCAATCTGGGGACAGGGCAGTTTTGTGGTTCCCTTGGGAATAACTTGATAGAGGCAGAGCTTAACCGTTTGAGTCCCAAGCAGCGCGATCGCGCTGCTGAGATTTTATGTCGAGAAAACATACGATTCGTTTGAGTCCCAGGGGGTATTGAAAAAACACTGTCGAAGAATCCCAAACAGCGCAACCGCGCTTTCTCTAAATGAGTACGAAAAGACCCAAACAGCGTGATAGCGCTTGTTTTATTTTATGTCGAGAAATACCAAGCAGTGCGATTGCGCTGCTTGGGACTCAAACGGTTAAGAGCCTGCTTCTCTTGTATGAGGAAAAACACTATGCATGTGACCTGCAACTTGTAGGTGGCAGAATAGAAGTGGTGGAGTTGGGGCCCAGATGCCTTCAGGGGCCAGGTAGGCAAAGGGAAGGAGGGAATGGGGCTGAGGAAAGATGAGTCTTGTAGTTTTAGAGTAACTCTCTTCTCTTTCCCCCTAAGGAATTTTAATTCAAATGATTAAAAAAACAAAAGCTTACAGGCTAAGCAGAATACATCTGCAGGTCACATTTGGCCTTGGGCCTCTACTTATGGCCTCTGGCTTAGAAGTTTCTGGAAGACCACAGGAAGTGGCTCTCGGTGGTTGGGGTTCAGGGGCTTGGTTACTGACCTTGGAGGTAGGCCCATGACTTCTTGAACGGAGCCCTCTGCAGGATACATAAGATGTCCTCTGAGCAGTTTCCTAAAAACAAGAGCACACGTTGACTGTCTTCCTCTGCTCTGGGACCTGGAGACACCAGACCTTTTTCCGTGACCCTTTGATGGAGACGGTTACCATTCAGTTTCCATCTGGGGGCAAAGGAGATCTATCTGTGTGTTTCTCATTTTGCCATCAGGTACCTTAGATTTCAAAAAGTTGATTGCTTCCACTTGGGCTTTTACAAAAGACTGTGGAAGTTGGGGGAACGAAAACATATATGACCTGGGTTCCTATGTGTACCAGGTGCCATTCCTGTCCGATTACTTATCTCACCTCACTTCATCTTTGGGGTAATTCCGTAAGAGAGGTATCATTAAGTCCCTTGGACAGAGAGAAAAAGCCTGGGGACCAGACAGATGAAGTACCTTGTCCCAGGTCACTCAGCCAGTGGGGGCAGTCAGGACAATATATGATGGAAATTGTTGCTGTCCTTCCCGTAAGAGGGCACCAAACACTGGGCGGGGTATCTGTACGTATTTCAGCTCATGTGATTCTCAGAATAACTCTGCAAGGTTAATTCTGACGCTTAGACACATGGCCAGTGGTACAAGGTCAAGCAGGTTGATGGAAATGCTGAGATTCACCTCCAAGTCTACACGGTTCCAGAAGCTAGGCTTCCTCCTTGAGGCTGTTTTGCTAGACAGTGGGAATAAACACACCCTTGTGCTTAATTTTAAGAGGATATAGGATCAAGATAAACACATCCTTGTGCTCAATTTTAAGAGGATATAGGATCAAAGTGTTCTAAGCAGGGAGCTTGCTATCATGAGCTCCCTTGGCAGGTGGAAAAAGACACTGTTTAGGTCATTATGGTATTTAAGATATAAAAATATTTTAAATATATACATTGGTGATGGTGGCTTAGCTTCTTCTTATTATAGTAACTCTTTTGTATGCAAAGAACCAAGTTACACATTTCCTGCAGTGCCTCATGAATTCAACTCACTCTGGACAAATTCCCTTTCGTCTTTGCGCCTGGTTTCCCCAGCTGTAAAACTGGTAGGTCTATAACCAGACACTGACATCTTTTGGATGATATCACAAATGACTATTCATTCCAGCCATCAGACACCAGGCAGCCAGGAGCCAGTTCAATTGAAGCCACCTCAGTCATGAATTTGCTTACTGGTCTCTGAGCAGTACTCAGACTCACAGTCTTCCTCACCGCCCTCTCCTCCCAGGCCCAAGAAAAATCTCTCCTGGTTCTTCACAGCACTGGACTTGGAAAGGTTGAATGTTAAGTGGAGAGTTCCCTCTGCTGTCTGAACAAGTTTGCTGCTAGAGGCCCCTTCAGCAGGAGCAGAGGGTGGGTTCATCCTTGTCTGTCCTCAACCCTTAAAGAGGCTCTGCAGGATCAGGGCCATGCTCCTCCACATGGCATCCATGCTCCCTGGGTTCTCGTCCCTCATCTTCTGTCCTAATTAATAATAATAGTAGCAATAGTAGTGCTAGTAATGATAATAATAGCTCATATTTGTCTGACCCTTCCCTCTGCCTGCCTATCTTCCTCCATTGGACTGTAAAGAGACTACTGTTCATACATTCCCCACTGCCCAGCCCAGAAGATGCTCCACAAATGTTTGTTGAATTGAATCATCCAGTTCTTCTCTCTTCCTTCTCTCTGTGAAAGTCAGCTAAGTGCTCAAGGCATGAGCGAGGTGAATGGGATGCTTGGCTTGCTTTTCCCCTCGGGGTTGAGATAACACCTGGGTTCATTCTCCCATTAGTCCTGCAGGTTCTGTTAGATTACATGAGAGGATAAGACTCGTGTCGTGGACTGAGGCCAACATATCCCTGCAAGGACAGGCTCTGCTCATAGGCCAGAGGTCCCCCCCAGCATGCCATCTCAGGTGAGCTTCTGTAGGCAGATGACTACAGAAGTACAAGCCTGGGCTTGCCTCTCACACATGCAACTGCTTTTGTTCTTTCCCCTTTGCTCTTTGCATGTTTGGTGGGTTGACCTCAGTTGTAATTCTGAGAAACCCAAGGATGGAAAAACACACATCTTATTTTGAAACATTTGCATTTCCTGAAGTCAGATGGCATGGCGTATTTTAATTTTTCTTGAACCTTTTAGAGGGTTTCAAGAGAAAGGAAAAACATGGGCAACCCCCCATGACATGGCTAAGGAAAAGGGACCCAGGATGCTGGAGGAGTTTTAAATGGAATGGGTGGGGTGGCTGAACCTGGAGAGGAGCCCAGAGGGGCCTTTGCCACCTGACAAGGAGGCTGTTAGCAGGAAGACGGTGCAGCCTGCTCTGCGGAGCCCACACACTGAGGCTCCAAGTGCACTCAGCTAATGGTCAACGCTGCTCTTATCCCCAGTTCTCAGGCGAGGCGATGGGAGGACCTCATCTGAGGACACACAAACCACACTGGAAGTCGCAGTACTGGCACCTCAAATATCTGACCAGTTGGTGCCAGTCAAAGAGGCATTGGGTGGCTTTTCAGACTTGTAGGGCTCTTGCCAAGAGCTGGGTGAACTTTATATGTGGCTCATGTCTCCTCATCACCCTGGGACACCATGATCTGACTTTCTTTTTTGGTTATGAAGACGAGGAGTGACTTGTAAGTCATGGTTGAGTTGGGGGCCTGGGAGTTTCCCCTCTCTGGTCTCTCTTGTCCCTAGCTAGATGAAGAGCAGTGTGGATTTGATGATCTAGAAAGGCACATCTAGCCTGTTCTAGTAGGCTGTGTAGACTCACTGTATACTGCCAGGCCTGTTATGGGGAGAATGTTAGTCCCAGCCCCAACTGTCTGCCTTTGTGGGCATGTTGCTTTATCCCAGCTAAGAGACTGTCTTCACATATTCAGATTTCCAGACACATACCGTGGTAGAACAGAACATTTTAGCTCTGGGATAATGAAGGTTATAAAGAGTCTGATTCCTTAGGATTTGCATGGTTCATAGAAATGGAAATTCCCTGAGAAGTCACTGGGGCCAGGCATGGTAGCCACATAATATATGTGCTCCTCAACGTTATCCCCACAGCATGCTTGTCCTAGGTCACCCTGTGAGTTAGTGACAGGGGCAGGACCAGAGTCCAGGGCTCCTTACTCCTTATGTGCGGCGTTCCATCCTTCAAAGAACTCAAGTACTCTGAATTCTTCTGAGAAGCAAGGCCTTCCAATTGGAAAGATTTGTAAGCTCTTTTCCCAAGCTTTGGACTCCTCTGGAAGGATCATGAAACTTTCTTAGGCTTTTTTTTGAAAGCCCTAAGAGTAATATATGGCAATGAAACCCTCCTAGCTAGTCGCACAGAAGAGAGGTGTTGCTTAAGGTAGTTGAAAGGATCATGTTCTAGACGTCAGAATAGTGATAATCTGAAGACTGGACCCCACCTTGAGATCTTATAAGGTTAGGCCTGAAAGGGCCATTAGATGCCAAGTTAACCATGATCCTAGTCCTATGAGTGGGGAGACTGAACCCAAAGGGGCTGAAAGTGTGGCCAAGACCCCGCAATAGGTCAGGAGCAGAGCTGGGCTCAGAACACTCCTAGTCTAAGGCTCTGTTCCTATTGTTTGGTCTTCCTATGGAGCAGAGAAGAAGTGGGTTTGCAGCCACCATAAACCCTGGATGGAAAACAGGACAGCTGGAGGTGCTAGGAAAACAAATCTCTGGGCTCCCCATTGTGGGAGAATACCAGAAAGTGACTCCAGGCCCTTGTGCCGAACCCTGCCAAGTCATCGGTCAGGGGCAGTCAGGCTAACAGTAAGATGCAACAATGCCCAGGGTGGCAAAACAAGCCACACTAACCACTGCAGCCAGATGGTATGTATCTGAGTGCCAGGCACCATACAGGTTGATATTGGGATGAGACAGACACAGTGCATCTCAAAACAAGCCCCTGGGTTCTGGTCAAGGCTTTTAGCTGCCACTTCCTCTTACTGACCCTCAGTGACTGCATCTGTAACAGTGGGGATAATAGTCAACCCAAATGTATGGATGTAGTGATGATGCAATGAGATTATGGATGTCCAGTGGGCAATGCAGAATGTGACATAGAGGAGACAGCCAGCAAGTGGTAGTCCCTTCCTCCCAGATTCCTCTTTTCCTAACAATACCACTTAGCAGAGCAATCTGGCTGATGAAATGCTCATTAAAACACAGCTCATGGCATTACCTGATGGATCAGAGTGTCTCAATTACATATATAAGTGTTTGAGGCCATCTGATACTTCCGGAAAAGTGTGCAGAATCCTCCTTCCATCTGTTGAAAATATTTAATCCTCCCAGGAAGGAGAGGAGTTATTCTGATGCCTCTGCATCTACCTTGTCCTGGCTTCTATTCCATCCGCCTGGGAGCATAGCCAGGAGAGTCCCAACAGTGACATCTAGGGGAGAGTCTCTCCAGTATTGGTAGGAGTTGGAATCAAAGTTCATCCTCAGCTGGCTTTAACTTAACCGCTTTCTTGATGCCCCCAGGCCAACTAGTGATGGAGAAACTCTATGACAGGTGACCTTGGACTTACAAACAGCAGTTTTAGGGACTACCCACGCTGGCATGCTCACTGTTAAACACATAAAAAGTGATCAGTAGTACAAACTGAGATCAAGGTGCGATTCAGTTGAATCCCTTGACGGTTCCTTAGGATGTTGGGGCTTTTCAATCCTGACCTGTTGCAGTATGTAAGATAAACCTATCTGACCCTATGGGTATTTTCTTGAAATTCGCTTCTACTAAATGCAGGTTGAATGGATATTATTGGGGGCATTTAAGAAGCACCTTTAAAGTCTGTAAGCTAAAAGGCAAAGTAAATCTGGAGTCTTGTGGTGCGATCGGCTAACCTTTTAAATTCTGTTTGGAAAAAACTTCCTAGCTTATTCTAGATGCAGAAGTGTGACAGCACACTTAGCATGTTAGGCTTGGGATCAGACTGGCTCGGGTTCAAATTCTTCCTCTGCCACTTACTAGTCACTCAGCCTCTGAATTTTCCTATAAGTGAGGACAATCATAAACTCGAAGGGTTTCTGGGAGGAT